GAGAATCATCTGCCTTTTCTAAAACTTTTGTTAGTTTGGTAGGGTTTGTCCAGGACAAACGACCTTAAAAGTCCAGGTGATCAGAACCTAAACACACAAAGGGCAGGATCAACACATTATTATTGGATGGAAGGTACGATGAATTTGAAGGTACTGAATTATTTAAGAACAGTTAAATGTTTCATAAAAGGTTAACCTTACCAAGTTCTTCGGGTCTTTTTTTACTCAATTACGTTTTCATCTTTTTTAGCACTGTTTTGTTCGTTCAATCGCAGTCTCATTTTGTTAAGAATACTTTTGAATTTGAAAATATTATAAGAAAACTGTTATGTACTACATTACTGATTTTAATAATATTTCAAATGCATAGATAAATTCAGACCGCAGCAGGGTGAAAAGTAAGAGCACTTTCTACAGTACATTTTTTCATTTGAAAGAGTTCATTATTTATAGTGTACATTGCTACTAAAAAACAATTGATTTATTTAATATTTTAAAAATTTTATTTATTAACCACTTGCGCTGGAAAAACTTTTTAAAAAACTGTCCCAAAATTCTCAATGATATCTTTCACACATTGATAATCTTGTTGCATTACGCCTATTAGATCACTTCAAAATGTATCCAGAAATGTATACAGAATGATTAACAAACAAAATTAGTGTACATATCAGTGTAAAATAGGTAAAAACAAAATTCATCGCAGGAGACTTTGCCAAATTTCTTAATTCATTTCTAGCACAAGTGGTTAATATCATTATTTTATTTAATAAGTATTGATTCTGAATTTTGTATAAAAGGAGATTTTACTAGTAAAAGATACATTTAAATGAAGAAAAATAATAAAGTCTTACTTATAACGTTACGATTCTGAAGTGTGATCATGTGTTTTTTAATGAAAGTGCTGTCAATACATCGCTTCGGAAATGTATAACAATAAATCTACATACATCCGAAACGATGCACTTTATTTGGGCGGATTCCAAATGTAACGAGAAATCATAGCGTACATGCCTAAAAGACTTTATGAATTGACAGCATGGTCCTCTCTAAAATTAATCTTGTATGACAATATACGTATATTATGAATAATCGTTCATATAAAAGTAAACAATATCATTTCGTGTTTTTCTGTAGAGAACTTTATAACAAAAAAAAAAATTGCTTTTGAACATTTATCAAATTCCCGTCTGACTCAATACAACTGTATAATTCTGTTGTGTTATTTGAATTCTATCATTGCCAATGTTTGGGGACAGCACGGCAGATAGAAACAATCAATAATTGAAAAATATTCGTAAAAAAGGCAGTTTGAGCCAAACATAAAATTTTCAAAAAGAATAGTTCGAACAATGTCATCTTTCAGTATTGTCAGTATTATTACTGATGACTATTTACAAAAAGGAAAATCACGTTTAAATTGTATACTATAAGATAGTAAGAAGAAAACAAAATTTTTCAGTTTTAGCATTTTCAGTGTATTCCAGAAATATTCTTGAATTGCAGAAGAATACGAGTGCATGATGAACTTTCTCAATTAATTTTTCTAACAGCCAAGCTAGATGCAAAGAAATTCCGCATAAAATTTTTTATTATTTCAATACATGTACGAATATATAAATTCTTTTCAAGTACATATACTGTGAATTACACCTTGTCCTTAACATTTCATCCCTTTAGTGGAAAGAGGATAACTTTAATGCTAACAGAGTCGGTGCCTTGTCAGTATGCATACGACGCGAATTTTGATCTTTATGGCGGGATGTTTCGCCTAGTGAGTAATAACGTACACAATGATGCTACAGAAACAGTTAACCCTTTATGATACTATGTCGAGTTTGGCTCAACACTTAATTTTATTTCAACACCTACACATTTTACAAATTGTTGCTGTAAGTATTCGTGATATCATGATTATATCATGCAAAATTACAATATTATTGGTTCTTAAATGTTCAGGGTATTCTAACGCATTTGGCTAATGTTACAATTCTTCTGAAATCGAATACCATTTTTTATTTTTTGATTACCTCTTGTACAATATTAATTAGAAGTATTGAGTTGGAGCAGGTTCCATTTGATGAAAAAATATCAAATAAGAAAGACAAATTCAGGACAAATACAAATAAACTTAGTATAAGAACTTTTTTGCTCGATTTGCATAAGAGTATTATTCTTAGTATGTCACTATTGATTGGTTTTTAAAGATATTCGAAGAATTTAGAATAATGCGTTTACTAGACATTTGCTAGCCAAACATCATTAATGAACAGTAATCCAATACCTACATACACATGTGCATACATTACAGTGTTCGGTAGCTAATCCAAATACGTCATTAGACTCGAAACGTCATACACTCGCTGAATTCCATAGAAACAATTTGCTGCACCGGTTATTACTACACAATAATCGTTATTCAATGTACGCCATGCTTGAATTCATTTTCATCGAGAAAACATTATCGGTCGATTACTAATATTTTCTTAATTATACCATCAAAACTATTGATTATTTAATTATTATTTGCATGTAACTCAATCGATATGTTTATACCAATGACTTTGGACAGCCAACTTAATTATTCTTAATTCGTGCACAATTCACTTGCTGAGAAATTAAACTTACCCGCATTGACAAATGCGAAATATAAGACAAGATACATATGTTGCACTAATTCGGATTATTATATTGTATTAAGAAACGTCAAAGTCATCGATGAATAGTGTTATGGATTAGTAGGTATATATTTTTGTTATACTGTTGTACCTAGTTAGGCTATGAATGCGTTTGATTTTTTATTGAGGAAAAAGGCACTATGTCAAATTTATAATATTCAAAAAATATATGGATACATTTTCATTAAGAAATAACGACGACGATTGCTATCGTTACCTCCCAGTGTTATAGCTAAATGAGTTTTTTCATAAAGGAATTCTGTTCGCTTGTCTTTACTTTGCATAAAAATGTTATTTCTCATTTAAACTTGTTTGAAAGTCAAGATGTCACGCATGGCTGAGCTTGTCTTTTTCTAGATCATTACATTGCGACAAAGAAATTGTATCGACCCACTTCTGAAGATCTCAATACCATGAAAGCTTAAAAAATACGGTACAAGTTTTCTAATTCTCAAATTATTTACTCTTTTATTGCTATATATAATTGATATAATTAATAATACAATAATATATAATTACGTAATAATTATTCCATTAGTCCATGAGGTAATCTAACATTTTTCAGGAGTGATTGTTCATTAAATAGCCTCATTTGCTTTCTTCCAGTTTCAATAAGATATTCATCGATACTATGTAAGTTACATGTTGCTTCATTGAAAGTGTTAATCATTTCTTAATATTAATTGACAAATTACACCATAGATCGCTATTTAGGTCATTCAAGGCTAGATAACTTTCCCCTATTCATTTCACTTGGTCGCTGTTAATATGCAGGTCTGTAACTTATTTTATTGTTCCCTTCGTAGATTCTGTCATCCATTCAGTTCGTATATGTTTGTAGTATCGAAGCATCTTTCTGAACATCGATTCGAACTTATACCATAACTATGAAATAATCATGGTCTGGTTTTCGAAAGAGGGTCCCAGAAGTGCACCGTCAGTCATAAAAGCTGTCCACCCCATTCCGATTACCCAAACATCATCTGTCAAAAGTAATTACATTGGAATGGTTATTTATTGCATCTATCAATGTATTTTAGACTCTTTCTTTAAAAAAAAATCAGGTCGTAAACAGAATTCTCCATTTAAATATGAAAGTTTACTGAAACTTCGTTAGCCGAATCGAAACGTATCCAATTCTTAACCCTTTCCCTTCTTACGTCGAATCCGATATTATAACTTTTAATTGATATCACACTAAACAATATTATAATTAAAAATCAAGAAAAATATTTTAATTATATTATCTAATATGTAATAGATGTACGCAAGTTAATATTACGTAACTCTCTTGCGAGACATTAACAAATAAAATAATGGATCATCCCATACCTAATACGGTTCTTTTTTTTTTCTTTTATTTTTTAAAAATCGTGTTATTTGTGAGATGACCCAATAAAATTAGAGTTCGGGTGTGTGTTGGTGACACGAAAATTAGATTGGTAAAGGTTAAGGCGTCAATATTTAATTATAACGAGCTACCTATTTTAATAGAATTTTTAACGGTTGATCTTGATTTAACATGTGGTTACATCATGTACATATATTAGGTCGTCCCATAGGTAATATCTTTTTTAATGGTACCTTCTACAGTAAACAATTAACCCCTTGCCTTACAATAACGTGTCTGCTCGTGGTTAAGGTTTCAAACAGAATTACCAAACTTTAACTTGAATTTAAAATATTACTGAATTCTTTTGAACTCAAATCGAATATTGTTCTTATGTTAAAAATAATTATACTTTAGAGCAGACATAGAGGCAAAGTATGTCCAAAATCGTTGCTTTTGTTTCAATAAGTTATTAATGACAAAGTGGTTGTATCGATCATAGTTGAAAAAAGATCATAGGACAAGGGGTTAATACTCACCATTTTTTAATCGTCGTCATATCAACCATCGATGTGTATGACCTTCTCCCGTTTTTAGAATACTTTTTTAGTGAGATTTTGGAAACGTTATTAAAAAGTATGTTGAAAAGTAAAATAAATAACAAGATTGGAATGATCTAATGTATTTACTAGAGAAACCTGGTATACGCATAGTGACCGATTCGATGATGCGCCGCAGCGTTTAGGTAGAGTTAAGAACCTTCTTGTTGGTGTTAAACTTGACCAAATTCAGTTTGGCAGAGCTGTCGATACGCTGGGCGTCGTCGAGCCGGCGTTCCTACGCGACGTACAGCCGGTGAGTCGTGAATTGGAGTTCAATTGGGGATTGACCCCTCCGGCGCAAGACTTCTATAATTACATTTCGCATTCCTCGACGTTACGAGCAACCCAACGAGCGCCAAACGAGCGCGACATACTCGTCGTCGCCCCAGACCGGTTCTTGTCTGCGTCCGTCCGCTAACGTTCGGTCAAGTTCGTTGTGGAAGCCACGAAAAACTAACCGATAAAATCCCCCAAACTGAGGGAAAATACGAGTGAAACCGCCGGGCATGTCGGATACGTCACTTTTACTCTGGCTCGACTTAACCTTTAACCCTTCCGTCCCAAATGGTACACATAATGGTACTACGAACATTTTAAATTACCGGAAACCTAGAAAACACCTTAAAGATAAAGGAAAATTGTGCAACACGGGGATCTTTGCTTATAATTGACAGCTTAAGTGCTAATTATTATTATTATTAGTGCGAATGTTATTTCTTTCACTAAGAAGCTTCAATTTCACTTGAAAGCAGTTCGTGGCCCTCGCTTTGATTTAGAGGGAAAATAAATATTCTGGGAGGAAAGGGTTAAGTTATGGAATTATCTCACAGATCTCTGTATAAAATATCGTGAATTTTGAAATCAGTGAAATCTTTGTTACATACTTGATACTGAAGTGGCCTATGAATTTTCTGAAAACAGGTGTAACTTGGAAAGCTTTAGGAGAAAGGAAGTGAGAGTGTTCGTCCAGGATCTAAATACCAGTGGACTCGTCAGTAAGGCAGAATCTGCTAGACCCGTACCTTAGACGTTGGGACGAGCGTTGGCTTTTTTTTATCAGGCGGGGCCTGATCGGTGATTATCGGAAAATGTAGGAAAGAGAATAGTCTCGGCTATATTCTCATAAAATTCTGAAACAGAATATAAAAAATATTAGATGATAACTGCGGAGGAGTGGTTAGGTTGACATACTATACATGAAGTAAGAAGTTGCAAAAAAATTTTCAAAAAATCTACATACATAAGACGCTAAGTCAGGTGTAGTAGGAATTTTACTGAATCTTATATGCAAATTATGTACGAACTGAGTAGGAGCGAGAAAGATCTTGGTGCGCTAGCCCTCTATTGGCGGAGTTCTGGAAGCCTGGCGCCTTAATACTATTGCTATATAGAGATATTTAAGTAAGTAAAATATATACATTCAATAGATTTGTTTTATTAGTTGCTACAAACGAGAATGTTTAACATTAGCCGATAATTTTCAGACTTCCATACTGAAAAGTTAATGCGGATACTGTCGAAGGGAACGATAAAAGATGAACAAAAATTAAGTGTACAATATACAAATTAGTCATATTATTAAACAAAAGTCTAGAAGCGCAGTAACTGACGATGCAAGCAGTTTTAATGAAATATTTGATTAATCTCTACTTTTCAGGCTTCCATACTTAAAGATTAAATTCAGGTATATAACACTAAATGTACTGGCACGTTATATACACATATTCCTACCGTGACCGGTCAAATAGCTGATTATAAAATAAAGATAAACAAATTACACATTCTTCTTAGTGTAAACAAAAACAAAAGGAAAGACAAAAATTAAAAAACCGATTAATCGAACAATATGGGGATTGATATAAAGTTAAATGAACGAAAAAATGCAGACTTTTTAATTAAATTCGAAAACCAGTCGCGGTACGTTTGATGTTAAATAAGTGAAATACATAAATCCAATAAATTTTTTTATTAGTTGCTACAAACAAGACTATTTAATATTAATCGACAATTTTCGGACTTGAAGATTAAATTCATGTTCATGCTTAAAGGTTAAAGACCGTGTCGTTTATTTTATCGCTGCAATGTTAAAAGACATTTCTGCCGAGTTTTTAGAATGCCAAGGTACCTGTACAACTTAAATAATCATATTAGTACGTTTACCACCAACGTCACATTGAAATGAAATAAATCCTATAGATATTGCTGTTTAATGTTATAAGATATAATACAATATTTAAGAATTCAATGACTCTTTGTAGTTTCATTTTTTAAATATTTTATTTAAAGGCTTTATTGAATTTAATAGAATATTGTAAATAAAAAGATCGTCATAAACCAATAGCAATAAAGTACATTGCACGAAATTGATTCTTTGTAACATATTAGCACATTAAAGCTGTGTGAATATTATCATTTGAATTATGTCTGTTATTAATTTATAATTGCACATAAATTCGATAAAACGAATTAATATATGGAAAACGTAGATATTTGTAAGCTTTATTATAAAATGTTGTCTAGCATAAAGATAGTAGCTGAACTTGGCCGTGTTGAAATTTTCCGCTTTCATTGAACCTTCGCTGTAATTAATAGGATTCATAATCTCCATCGACAAGCACCGCACTTTCTCGGTGTACGTAAATGATTAATTCTCTATGGCGTGCATTACACAATACGCATAGCTATCGTACAATCGGTGTAGTACACGTGGGACGTGTTGTACTAGCGTGAAAGTCAATAGCGTTCAATTTATTACAGGCAATTCCTTAGCTTCGTATTTATGTAGTAGCCCTACTCTCGAAATCGCTGTCTCGGAGAGACTGAAATTGTTGGTTCTTCGCTAACATAGCCAGGCAATCATGCCAGAGGAAAAACTTTTGTATATTTGATAATTCAGACAATTTATTCGATCCACGTGGGCGTAATAAGATTCAATCTATGATCGCGTACAGCTTCTCCGCGGAAATGTATGGAAATTAGAAACGTAATAGCAAATTAAAGATAATACATAAATTTTTAAGCTTCATAAAAGTTGACTGTTTCAATTGAATATTTAATTACATTTATCCCCTACGTTTACGGTGCAAATTTAAAAGAATATCGGAATTGTTTAGTTATCAAAAGTTTTTTTTAGTACAGCAAATTTGTAAATGTTTAAACTATTGTGTATATTTATACGAAGTAACAATTCAATTTTTCGTGAGTCTGTAAACTAATCGCATCCTCGATTGTTCCAAATTGGGTAAAAATTTCTATTTTTATTGCTCGGAAAGAGAGCCGAAGCTTACTATTGTATCGTCCCATAAGTAAGGAAAACATAATTAATTAATAATTCTTATTCTAAAGTGTTTTTTACATTTTCATTTCTAAAAATTAATACGAAACATTCGATAGTCTAAAATATATTCTCTTTCATTATTTACAAAGCTGTTTCATCTTTTTATTAGAATTTTCTCGCGAATCTTTCAAAACTTCACTTGCCTGCGTCGAAAAATACAGTGCACGCAATTGAGAATACGCGTTATTTATGAGAAGACTGGACACTAATCCTTAAAAGCGTGATCACTTTCGCAGAATGCATTCGGAAATATTTTATCAAGTCGACAGTGATTTATTTCCGTGGGTATTAATATTTTGGTCGGAAACATTAATAGTGAAGCGTCTGGGAACGTTGTGGTTACCTTGCCTCGAAGAGTGGCGTCAGTATTTTAAGGACGCGTCGTCGAATTATACATACCCGTCGAAATAGCTTACCCATTCATTATATACGAGTATCGGGTTTCTATACGGCGGACCACAATACGGTAATACGAAGACCCTGAAGGAAGGGTGCGTCCGTGTACGACATTGGCGCCTAATTTTGAGGCTTGGTTTGGTCAGGGCCCCACCCATGTCATCTTGAAACGGGTAGGTATGCGTCCGTGTCTAATGAGGCAAGATGGCAGCCTCCGCCTCCTCCATAGCTCTCGTCAGTTTACCTGTACACGAGGCAAACTACTCGACAAACACGGTCCTGTGAATGGAACCGGGGAAAGGACGGAGACACCTCCATTTCGTACCTGCCATTCAGCTATCGTGTGCGCTAACAATTTTTATTTTGTCCGTAATACGACAGACTCGTTTTCTACGCTGACGTTTAACACTAGAAGTACCGAGCATTTAACTAGTTAACTATGGAATTTAGAAAAATCTCTTATTGTGCGCGCAATAAAATCAAATAATGAAGCGTATATTCATTAAATGCAGGCCAAATGCACTTATAATATATTCTAACGAAAAATTAAAGCGAAACGAAGAAGAATTACATGTTTGTCTGGAAAAATAAATAATTTATCGTTGAAAGAATTAATATCATTTTGATTTTAAATGGATTATTTTCGGTTTCTTCAGACATTCATTATAGTATTTAAGCGAAATTATTTATTTTCAAAACCATTTCGAGTATTCAATGCTTTTGAAATATCAATAATTGTGAAACAAAGAAACTGAGTTCAGTCATTTTTACTGGTACGGTAGTTGTAGTGTCAATACTGAACACTTTATTTGCCGCAAGCCTATTGATCGACTTTTCGATTACCCATGCTTAACAATGTATAATCTATTATAATTATTCTGCTTTGAAACACAAACTTACAAAGCTTTACAAGTGAAAACGCACACTTTTACGCCTTAGTGAAAAATATATTGTCTACTATGTAGTAAGTGGTTGCCTCGATCACGAGTGGTAAATGAAAACGCTCAACACATTGACTGCCATGAGAACTTTGAGTGTTTTTGGTTATTTGTTTGAATGGCATTCATATTTTTTCATCAATTGTGGAAATCAGAAATCATTTTAACCTATCTTGTAGTTGTAGTGTTAATACTTCTTTAGATTTTCTTGTAGATTCAAGTCTTTTCTAAGTTATTAAGTATAATAATTATCAATTTCTTTATTTTTTCTGGCAAGGATCATATGCTGGGAGAATTCATAGTTCATCTCCTATTTCTGTAAACCTGAAAAATATCGCTAAGAAAATTTTATGTATTTTTTAATTGAAGAAAGTATTGCACATATTTCAATGTTAGGAAGTAACACAATAAGTTGAATGAAATGAACTAAAATTTCAACAACATATTTTTAGTTTTACTTAAATAAACAGATGTATTATCATTTTTATCCCTTAAAAAGTCTAGGAAAGAAAGTTATGAAGTATTTGATTTGCAATGTTTAATAGATAGACATTAAATCATTCTTAGAATGTATTCTTTTTTATTTTGAATTGCACGACCTAGAGCATAACAGCAAAATGACAATACTATTTCACAGGCATTTGATATATATTAGAACTTGTGAACAGGAAGTTGCAGTTGATTGTAACCGTCGACATTGTTGATTTATGATTATATTTGATTGGTGATAAGTGGCATCGTATATTTCGTATTAACGAATATTTACTGCCCCGTTGGTTGAAAGTTAACGGAACAATGGGCCGATTCTTCCATAACCTGCTTCTCAAAGCGTAACGAAACTCATTAGAAAGTCTAAGAGATTTCTGGCCAACGTGTAGGTTGCCTGGTGAAATTGAAATTCTCTGGCGTTAATTATGATCAACATAATTCGAGACACTTTAATACCGCGAAGTACTATTATAGAAAATAACTATTATCATGAATATACATTACTTGTTTTTTACGTGTTGTTGTTAACAGTGTTCAAATTTAGATTAATATCACAATGTGAATTCCACCGATACAGAAACTATGATGCAGTCTATACAGTACGATGAACGATATTATAATCGTAGCTTATACTGTCTTTAATTCAGTCATTTAAGCGGTGATTATTTGCAAACCTTTTAATAATACAAACAATGTCAACTAATACGGCAAGATAAACGTGCAATAATAATAAAACAACTGAATTAAATAATTTGATTTCATATTTTTTTCATTTTATGTATTTTGCTATCGTGCAGTATTCAACTTGTTAAGAATCACTTAAACTGATGCGTAAATAAACGCGAATACACTCATGGTGTATTACTGCTTATATTTTTCTTATGAATTAAATATTTGATTTTTCAAGCAGATCGATTAATTTTGTTTTTCGTAAATTTAATTTTAATTTTCTTTACTAAACGTGAAAATCAAATAATTAGTACAGTTAAATAATAAATCATCGTCATAAATCGTCAACAAATGAATAGGGAGCTATTGATTTAATATAATATTGCCACAATATTATAATTGGTTTATCGTTCATGTAATATTCATTCTGTACCAATACCACTTGAATTTGTTTTTGAGCCGATTGCTATATTAGTATTAGTATTTGTAACAAACATTTGAAATATTGATTTAAACGTCTATAATATCAAATGTAACAAAGAGCTATCAACAAGTTATTAATTTATGGTCACTTACTTTTGAATAAATTCAAATATTACAACAGAATTCGATGCTATTCATGTTTATTAGCGAGTAAGATTAGTTCAAATAAGGTTTTGACTTGTTCTGTATAATAAGCAGTTAGTTGAATAATATAGTATGATCAAACAT